ATAATCACATGTGATTAAGTACATGAGCACAACTATTTAATCGAGAAGGAAAAAATAAATCTTTTCCACCTCAAATCATATGTGATTATATACATATAATCCCATGTGATTAAATATATTAGAACAATTATAGAGTCGACACAAGAATACATATTTTCCATACGAATCATATGTGATTAAATAAATATAATCACATGTGATTAACTACACAAGAACAACTATTGAATCAACACGTGAAAATAAATATTGTCTACATAAATCATATCTGATTAAATACATATAATCACATGTGATTATATGTATCCAATCATATATGATTTATATGGTTGAGATTCATTATCACATTCTCGATTTAATAATTGTTCTTTGTCAACTTTAATCATATGTGATTAAATACATATAATCATTTGTGATTATATGTATCTGGTCACATATGATTTATACGGACAAAAAATAATGATGTCCATATAAATCATATGTGATTATATACATAAGAACAACTACTAAATCGAGAACACAAAGATAAATATTGTACATAAATATCGTATGTGATTAAATGCATATAATCACATATGATTATATCTATCTAATCACATATGATTTATCTAGACAATATTCATTTTCACATTCTCGATTCAATAGTTGTTTTTTTTCCACTTTAATCATACGTGATTAAATACATTTAATCAGATGTGATTATATGCTTCTAATCACATATTATTTTATTTGGAAAAAACGAATTTTGCCTATATAAATCATATGTGATTATCTATATACAATCACATGTGATTATATAAACGATAACAAATATTGAATCAAGAACACGAAAACAAATCTTTATCCACATTAATCATATGTGATTAAACATATCAAATCACATGTGATTATATGAATCTTATCACATATGATTTATGTATCTAATCACATATGATTAAATATAATTAAATAGTTATAATCATATGATTAAATACTTATAATCACATATGATTAAATATATGAGAAAAACTATTGAAACGAAATTTCAAAAATGAATATGGTTTATATAAATCATATGTGATTGGATACATATAATCACATGTGATTATATGTATCTAATCACATATGATTAAAGTTGACAAAAAAAATAATTATTGAATCGAGAGCGCGATAATGACATATGCGATTAAATATATCTAATCACATGTGACTAAATACACGAGAACAACTATTGAATCTAGAACGCGAAAACGAATCATGTCCACATAAATCATATGTGATTAAATACATATAATCACATGTGACTAAATAAACATCTGATTATATGTATCTAATCACGTATGATTTATGTACACATGATTATTTTTGTATTCTTGATTCAATAGTTGTTCTTTTACAACGTTAACCATATGTGAATATTGTACATATAAATCATATGTGATTAAATAAATTTAATCACATATGATTATATGTATCTAATCACATATGATTTATGAGGACATTGTTCGTTTTTGTTTTCTCGATTCAATAGTTGTTCTCATTATTTAATCACAAGTGATTAGATTATATGTATTTAATCACATATAATCATATGTGATTAAATACATATAATCACATGTGATTGTACATATAATCACATGTGATTATATATATCGAATCACATACGATTTTTGTGGAGAATATTCATTATCATGTTCTCAAGTTAATAATTGTTCTTTGTTAAATTTAGTCATATGTGATTAAATACATGTAATCACAAGTGATTATATGTATCTAATCACATATGATTTATTTGGATAATAATCAATTTTTCTATTTTGATTCAATAATTTTTCTCTTATATTTAATCATATGTGAATGTATTTAATCATAAACAACTTTTGTCTATAGATTATATGTGATTACATACATATATAATCACATATGATTATATACAATGGAACAATTATTGAATTAAGAACACGGAAACAAATATTTTCCATACAAATGATATGAGATTAAATACATATAATCACATATGATTAGATACACGAGACCAACTATAGAATCGAAAATGAGTAATAAATATTATCCACATAAATCATATGTGATTAAATAGATATAATCACATGTGATTATATATATTTAATCACATGTGATTTATATAAATAAGATTCGTTAAAAACAAATATTTTCCAAATAAATCACATATGATTGAATACATATAATCACATGAGATTAAATTATATGTGATTAGATACATATAATCATATATGATTAGATACATATAATCATATGTAATTATATGTATTTAATCACATATAAAAAAAGTACATATAATCACACATGATTTATGCCATTATATGTATTCAATCACATACAATGTTAGTGGTTATAGGTAATGGGTGGTGGTGATAGGTGGTGGAGGTGGGTTATGGTGGTGAGTGGTAGTGGTGATGATTTTGGTGGGTGATGGGCGGTGGTCATGGTGACGAGCAATAATAATGGGTGCTGGAGGTGGGTGGTGGTGATGGATGGTGGTGGTATTGATAGGTGGTGGTTGGTGGTAGTGTTGTGTGTTGGTAATGGTGGTGGGTACATATAATCACATAAATCTTATCCACATAAATCATATGTGATTAAATACATATAATCACATGTGATTAAATATATTAGAATAATTATTGAATCCCCGGAAGAATAAATATTTTCCATACGAATCATATGTGATTATATATATATATATATATATATATATATATATATATATGTATATATATATATATATAATCACATGTGATTAAATACACAAGAACAACTATTGAATCAACACGTGAAAAAAAATATTGTCCATGTAAATCATATGTGATTAAATAAATATAATCACATGTGATTTAATACACAATGCCAATTATTAAATTGAAAACACGAAAATAAATACGGCCCACGTAAATAATATTTTATTAAATACATATAAGCACATATAGTTATATGTATCTAATCACATATGTTTTACGTGGACAATAATCATTTTTGCATACTCGATTCACTAGTTTTTCACGTGTATTTAATCGCATGTTATTATATATATATATATATATATATATATATATATATATATATATATATATATATATTTAATAACATATAAATCATATATGATTTCATATATATAATCACATGTGACTCGATACATATAATCACGAGTGATTATATGCAAGAGAAAACCTAATGAATCAAAAACACAATAACAAATCTTTATAGGTGGGGGTGGGGGTGGTGGCTGCAGGTGGTTGAGGCGGGTTGGTGGTGATTGGTGGTGGTGCTGTGTGGTTATGAGTGGTGGTAGGTGGGTGGGTGGCTACAAGTGGTGGTGATAGTGACAGGTGGTGGGTGGGTGTGGGTGGCAGAGGTAATTCATTTTTGCTTTGTGATTATATAAATCTAATCACATATGTTTAAATACATATAATCACATGTTATTATATGAATCTAATCACATATGATTTATGTGGACGCAATTCATTTTTGCTTTGTCAATTTAATAGTTGTTCTCATGTATTTTATCAAATGTGATTATAGGTATAATCATATGTGATTAAGTACATGAGCACAACTATCGAATTGAGAAGGAAAAAATGCATTTTGTCCATCTCAAATCATATATGATTATATACATATAATCACATGTGATTAATTACACAAAAGCAATTATTCAGTCGAAAATTGTGATTATATGTATCCAATCATATATGATTTATGTGGATGAGATTCATTGTCACATTCTCGATTCAATAGTTATTCTTTTTCCACTGTAATCATATGTGATTAAATACATATAAGCATATGTGATTATATGTATCTAATCACATATGATTTATACGGACAAAAAATAATGATGACTATATAAATCACATGTATTTAGATACATATAATCACATATGATTATATACACAAGAACAATTATTGAATAGAGAACACAAAGATAAATATTGTCCACATATATCATATGTGATTAAATGCATATAATCACTTGTGATTATATGTATCTAATCACATAAAATTTATGTGGAAAATATTTATTTTCGCGTTCTCGATTCCGTTGTTGTTCTTGTGTGCTTAATTACATGAGATTATATGTATCTAATTAGATATGATTTATATGGACAATATTCATTTTCACATTCTTGTTCAATAGTTGTTCTTGTACATTTAATCGCATATGATTTTTGTACACAAGATTCATTTTCGTGTTTTTGATTAAATAATTTTTTATTTTATACATTAATCATATGTGATTAATACATACAATCACATATGATTAAATACATACACTACTAGAAAAACAGCCTTTTACGACACTCATTGCGCGTCGTAAAAGGCTCAGACGACGCGCAAATGCGCGTCAAGGAAGGCCTTGTCATAAAGAGAGACAACGCGCTTTTACGACGCTCATTTACGACGCGCAATTACGACGCACGTTTACGACACGCAATGCGTATCAAGGAAGGCCCTGTCATAAAGGAAGATGACATGCGTTCGCGTGTCGTAACCTTACAACGCGCGTGTTAATGACACGCAATGCGTATCAAGAAAGCCCCTGTCAAGAAAGGCCATGTCATAAATGAAGATGACACACATTTTTGCGTATCATAAATTTAAATGTTTAAAAAAATAAATTTATATATTTATTCATTTTTAAATTAAATTTGCATTTAATTTCTCATAATATAAATAAAACACCATATACAAAAATACAATCCATTGCACAAAAATTAATGTCACACAAGATACAAAATAAAATACAATAAATAAGTAAGATAATTCATTGCATAAAATGTCAAATACAAATAATCATCGGTAACTATATAACCTAATACTACATTGCTATTAAGGGACATCATCATAACTCACTGAAGGTCTTGGAACAATGTTCTCATCATCAACTCTTACACCAACCTTGCTTTAGTAGATGACTTTCACACAATCAATATTGAAATAGATGCTGCCCGGGCCACCATAGATGTTGCCCGAACTTTCCGAGTTCAAACTTCCACTGTTTGCTTCATCTCTGCTAACCTCTTTCTGCTTCAAGAACACAAAAGAAAATGAAACCATGAAAATATCACATGAAATTTAATACCCTCATAAAATGGTATTAGGATTAAGGGAGTTGAAGGTACTTGTATTCTTCGAGGAAACAACTATCATCAAGATCATCTTCTAAATCTTTGAGTTCTTCTGTCTTGTTATCGATCCGAGATTTGGTTTTAGGTTTGGAATCTTCGTCTTCTGCAAGAGTGAAGGGATCGGGTTTGAAGGCAGAGGGTTTGGGAGGTAAGTTCCTAAGTTTTCTTTGAATATCATCCCATTGAGTTGATACTCCTTCAACATCTTCGTAGACAAAGTGGAGATCAGCTTTATCACTTGGCTCCCAAGATCTCTACATGCATAAGGAATAATGGGTATTAAGACTTAAGAGATTACATAATAAAAGTTATAGAATCTGAATTACAATATAGATCATACCTTCATATATCTTTCCTGCCCATCAAAAGCCATTTGTAGTTTCAGCTGACTTCTGGTAGAAGCTAGGATTTAAAATAAGCAATTAAGTTAGCTTTATCAATTTTAATACATGAATTTGGTAACTCTTTAAGGAAATTGATAAAATAGTAAGAACATGTGTCTCCAAAGAGCCAAAACCTCCTTCAAAATCAAGAATGTTGATTATCCCTTCCAATCCTCCCATGATTGACTCAATGAGCAACTCAACATATAAAACTGCATCTCGACCAATTCTAGTTAACTGCATCAACCAATCAATATTCAGTAAATTTCCCTTCAAAAGATAAAATAAAATTTACGTATAAAATTTAGAGTAAGTTACACTTTCGGTCCCTGTTCCAAGTAAAGTTGGGAACAAGAACCAAAAATGTTACAAGCCTTCTTTTCCAGTAGACCATTCCCTTCAGATAACAAGCCTTCTTTTCCAGTAGACACTGTTGTTTTCTCCAAATGTCTTATGTTAATTGAAGATCGTGCAGAAGTAACAATCATTAAAATTGATAACCAATCTTTACATAATTCCTGTTTATGTAATTTTTTTATACATTATATACATGAGTATAAATATAAATAAATAAAACAAAACCATGTCACATATTTGAATGGATTAAAATTGAAGATTATACTTACTGATAAATCACATGTAATTGCAGAGATATTTCCACCCTGTGGTTTTGGAATATTTTCAAGATGGTCATTTTTTTTTGGAAAAGCCCTTTTAGAGTGGTGTCCAGGTCAAGAGCCACCATGCTAGGTGTATTCAGTAAAAACCGGACACGGATCGCTGAAGATGACGGTTAGGATAAACCATACCCTCTCACAGCTATAAAAACATTGTGTAAATATTTAAACCCGAGCCTCAAGGGTAAAAAGGTAATTAAACATTTTATACCCTCACCTACAATGTATTTGTGGGATCATTTGCATTCTACACGTGTTGACAAGTCAAACTTGTTAATTAATATTATATATATATATATATATATATATATATATATATATATATATATATATATATATATATATATAGAAAAAACAATAATTTATGAAGTAATATCTGCCCCCACCTATTCACAGAAGCTCTCTCTTTGCATCATAAAAGTCACATGGCCTGCCATAATATGGTCTTTTGCACCCATCCTCACAAAGATACGATCAACGGAGAGATTTGCGCAGGCACATCTACCCCCACCTGGAACATCCATCCATAACTAACTGTATGAATATTGAAAATAATACCTAATTGTATGAACATCCATCCATAACAAACTGGAGATCCTGTTTCAATATCAATTTCAAGAATAGAACAATCTGGAGAACCAGTGAGGATCACTGATGACAAAAACATACATTCAAAATCAAGTTTAAAGAAACAGCAACTATGTTGCTACTGAGGGTAAAAAGTAAATTACATGGTTCAAGAGTATATAAAGTATAAACAATGTTGGTTCATTACCAAGTCCTTCATTGATAAATCTAACAGCTCTACAAGATTCACTGTGTGCACAAACTTTCAACACCCTGAAATGATAGTTTTTACAGAAATCACATTATAAGAACGGTTTTTAATGACGAAATTACCCCTAAAAAATGTTATCTAACAAAATGAGAGTCAACTACCTCATGGTGAGCGGATTCTTCAAGTGTATATTTCCTGAAAGATGAAAGCCTGGAAGAAGCTGCAGCAGCGGTAGTTGCAGCTGCAAGCACATCCTGGGCTTCCTTGTGCCTTCTCTCTTTTCTCCCCTGTTTCTTGACTTCTCTAAGCTCATAAAGATATTGGCTCACTAACACAGCATCCCGGTTTCATTTTCTTAGTGTCTCAATCTCTTCTAGAAGAACCTTGATCACCTTTGAAATCAAATCATCTAAACAATAAATAAATAAAACATCACAAATTAAAACATCCAACCTTCTTATTTTGATACTTAGTAAGTTGCAATGATTAAATTTTCAAACTTACATGGTATCAAGGATGTCATTCATAGGATTTAAACAATCATGGTTCCCAAGATTAGAATTCACCCTGGTATCACACTTAGATTCTATAGCCTCAGTTTGACCACTGTCAGAATTATTGACCAACAGATCAGAAGCAGGACAGGATTCTGCTGATATCTGCAAGAAAAAAAAAGTTAAAGTTATTGTTAGATTCTCAAAGCCACCAATCTATAATCATCAATATACAATCACAAAGTTGATTATATGACAACCTTTTCCATAGAATCAGGAGAAGACTGCCCCTGCTTATCTACAATGAAAGATTTATAATTTGGCTACCCTTAAAATCCTTTCCCTTCTCCACTTTTTCCTCTTTTTTCCTCTTTTTTCCTAGAATCCACACTCTCTTTACCATTATGCCCCTGCTTATCTACAATGAAAGATTTATTATTTGCAGCAACAAACTCCTGTTTCTTTTGATGATTCCAATGGCTAACACTCCCACTATGACTTCTGTTATTCCAACCTTATTACCCTTATTAACACTATTATAGCTTCCTCTTTTGTTATTCCCTCCATTCCAATTACTACCTTTGCTTCCAGAAACATTGGGATGAATATCACCTGTACCGTACCCCTTCACAGTAGTAGTCCCTACATTTCCAGCTTTTTTTGTGACCATAGTGAACCCCTCACCATCTTTATCAATCACATCCTGAATATCACTCTTGACAACCAACCATTATTCTAGCAGTAACAAATATGGCTGGATAATTCTAAGCTTTTACCTATTCAAAATAGACACCCATCAGTAATTAACTTCAACATTTTCATTTGATGATCTGTCAGATGGATTTATGTCAGTTAAACTGAAACAAGATACATTGGCACTCACATTGTCAACTGGTGAATATGATTTCATGTAAAAGTAGAACTCTTCTTTCTGAGGATCACCCCATTCCTGCAATAGAGCAAGTCATTCACATTTAGAAAGAAACATACTAATATTATCATAGCATCCTGCTTTGAGTTTCCAAAACAAAAAAATATTATATATAAATCACCTCCCATTCTGCAGTTGTAAGAGGAATAGTTGGACCAAGCATTATAGTCACAATATCTACAAATGGTACTCCAGCTACAGTAGCCTTAAATAAATCAGGTCTCATGCTCACAACAGCACCAATAAGCAACCCCCCTGCACTTCTTCCATTAAAGGACAACTTTTCTTTCGTACAATATTTCTTTTGGTCTGAGAAGTTTGAGTTTCACCTATGTCGTTGGGTGATTGAAGGCGACGAGGCTGCGTTTTCTTCTTAGAGAAAGGGAGGGCAAGAAAGTAAACACAAACCTCACAGATTAGAGAGGTTATCGAAACCAGTAAGGGGAACACCAATGAAAAATCCAACGGATTATTGAGAGAAAAACTGATTTTTGTTTGTTTAAAAGCTATCAAAGTATCAAGAAATTTCCAATCCAGGAGAGTTCATAAAGCAGATAGATAGGTACCTGATTTGACTAGAAGAGCAACTAGAGTAGGGTTTGTAAATTTAAGGAGTCGTTGTAGATGGAGTAGGGTAGAGGTGAAGAGGAGTTCAGTTACGAATTTTATGTTGAGATTATTGTGTCTAAATTTCGCCATAAAGATACGATTGAGAGAGAATGGTCTTGGATTTTTGGAAGGAAGCGAGGCTGTTACAGAAAGGGGGGATCATACTCACATGGAGATCTAAGGAGAGAGTGAGCGGTCTTCAATCTGATCGAGAGAGAATCATCGCCATAAAGATACGATCGAGGAAAATCGTCTTGAGAGGGGAAATTATTTGGGAAAAACTTGAAGCATTTGAAACCCTAGACCTTGATTCGATGTAACTTGACAGTGGATATTGTAGATTGATAGATTGAAGACCTGGAGCGATCCCTTGTGAAGAAAGCTGCGCGATTACAGAGAGTCCTTGTTGACCGGATCCAAAGATTCCGTCAATGGCTCTATCGGGTTTGGTTAAATCCCCAGTTTGGAATGTGCTACATCTGGTTTAAAAAAAATGAAAGGGGTTAATGGATTAGGATGATGTTGTACCTGAGAAAACAAAGAAAAAGAAGGAGACCTCGCAGATCAATTACAATTCACCTTCGAGGTTTACAAAGAGACGGGAGGTAGAGAATGAAGGGAGATCTAGAGGAGAGAGTATCAGAGAGGGGAGAGTGGATTGCAAGGATGAAAAATAGATAGAAGATAGAAAAAACAAGGCAGGTTCTCAAAATTTTGGGGATTTCGTTTCCCCCTACATTAACTAAAAGCGCGTTTCATTAAAATTATAAAGCGACATGTACAGACGACGCGCGTTTAAGATAAAGCGCCCTCCATGTTTCTAATTTTTTTTCTTGAGACACTAAATTAAGGGCACGCAATAATGCGTGACGTAAATCCTTAAATTTTTTGGAGAGATAACACTATTTTAAGGGCACGTCCTATTGCGTATCGTTAATCAGCGCGTGTCGTAAAAATTGCGTCATTAAAGGTCTATTTTCTAATAGTGATAAGAAAAAATATTTACTCATGAATATTATCAATATAAATTATATGCGATTTGATACATATAATCACATGTGTCTAAGTACATGAGTACAACAATTTAATTGAGAAAGAAATAATAAATATTGTCCATATAAATCATATGTGATTAACTACATATAATCACATGTGATTAAATATATTAGAACAATTATTGAATCGACGCAAGAATAGATATTTTCCATACGAATCATATGTGATTATATATATATATATATATATATATATATATATATATATATATATATATATATATATATATATAATCATATGTGATTAAATACACAAGAACAACTATTAAATCAACATGTGAAAAAAATATTGTATATATAAATCATATGTAATTAAATACATATAATCACATGTGATTTAATACACGATGCCAATTATTATATCAAAAACACGAAAATAAATACGTCCCACGTAAATAATACTTTATTAAATATATATAATCACATGTAGTTATATGTTTCTAATCACATATGATTTACGTGGACAATATTTATTTTTGCATTCTCGATTCACTAGTTTTTCACGTGTATTTAATCACATGTGATTATATATATTTAATAACATATAAATCATATATGATTCGATACATATAATCATATGTGACTCGATACATATAATAACATGTGATTATATACAAGAGAAAACCTAATGAATCGAAAACACAATAACAAATCTTTGTAGGTGGGGTGGTGGTGATGGGTGTGGTGGGTGGGTGTTGGTGGTGGTGGTGGTGGGTGGTGAATAGTGATGGTTGGTGGGTGATGGTTGGTGGTAGTGGGTAGTGATGGGTGGTGGTGGTTATGGTAAAGGGTGGCATGTGGTGGTGAGTAGTGATGGGTGGTGGTGGTTAGTGGTGATGGTGGTGATGGGTGGTGGTTGGTGGTGGTGGTGGTGGTGGTGGGTAGTGATGGGTGGTGGGTAGTGGTTGATGGTTGTGGTTAGTGATGGGTGGTGGTGATGGGTGGTAGGTAGTTGTGGTGATGGGTGGTAGGTAGTGGTTGTGGGTGGTGGTGGCACATGTTGGTGATGGGTGGTGGTGGTTAGGTGGTGATGGTGGTAGCGGGTGGTGGTGATGGTGGGTAGTGATGGGTGGTGGGTGGTGGGTGGTGATGGGTAGTGATGGGTGATAGTGACGGGTGGTGGTGGGTAGTGGCTGGTGGTTGGTGGTGGTGGCGGGTGGTGGCTGGTGGCTGGTGGTAGTGGATGGTGGGCAATGATGGGTGGTGGGTAGTGGTTAGTGGTGGCAGGTGGTAGCGATGGGTGGTTGGTAGTGGTTGTTGGTGGTGGTGGCAGGCGGTGGTGATGGGTGGTGGAGGTGGGTGGTGGTGGCGAGTGGTTGTGGTTAAATGGTGACGGTGGTGGGTGGTGATGGTGGTGGGTGGTGATGGTGGTGGCGGGTGGGTGGGTAGTGATAGGTGGTGAGCGGTTGTTAGTGGCGGTGGTTAGTGATGAGTGGTGGTTGTGTGTGGTAGTGGTGGTGGGTGGTAGTGACGGGTGGTGGTGATGGGTGGTGTAACGGTTGATTGTTGTGGTGGCGGGCGGTGGTGATGGGTGGTGGAGGTGGGTGGTGATGGTGGTGGGTGGTGATGGTGGTGGCGGGTGGTGGTTGGTGGTGGTGGTGAGTGGTAGTTAGTGGTGGTGGTTAGTGATGGGTGGTGGTGGTGAGTGGTGTTAATTGGGTGGTGAGTGGTGTTAGTTAGTGAGTTTTTTAATTGTTTGTAATTATTTTTTAATTTATATGAATATTTTTATAATTTTAATTAAAAAAATTGTATTTTTCAAATTTGTTGTCAAACGCTCTTTTATATATATATATATATATATATATATATATATATATATATATATATATATATATATATATATATATATATATATATATCATTTACCGCATCTATAGATTTTCACACAATTTAACATTCAAACCAACACTTCTAATTATTTAAATTTTTGTTTTTTTATGTAATTTTTATTTTAATTAATGAAGCGGTTTTTATTTTTAAATAATTTTTTTGTTTATTACTCATTTAAAAAATTTATAAATCTTAAAAATCAATTTTTTATTTAAAGAAAAAATAAATAAAACTTGCTTCCCACACATACCCTCATTTTTTGTGAGAAAAAAGAATAAAGAAAAAAATAAAGTTGCAAACAAAAATTAAGGAAGCTCCTCTTTATTTTAATCATGATTTATTAATTGCTCTCATTAAATGCTCTAAGAGTCATTTACAACCTCAAGTCAGTTCTAACCACACTTTAAATCATGACTTTATATATATATATATATATATATATATATATATATATATATATATATATATATATATATATATATATATATAAAAAGAGAGAGAGATTTTGTTGAGATTAAAAATAAAATAGAGATTTTGAGATTTTAACCTCAGCTATGTATTTTACATCTGTCGCTCTAACCCTCCAACGTACCGGTTCAACAGGCCTGGTATAATCATAAATGATTATATAATGTCGTCCATTCATTTCTTCTCTTCCACCATAACCGCTACAGCCACCACCACTACCACCACATCTGACGCCAACCAACCCCATCATTGTTACCTCCATTACTTATATCATTGTCACCTTTGTCATCACCACTTCTTCTACCACCAACTATCATAATCTTTTATGATTACCCAATCTGTGAACAAACATATATGTATAATCATATATAATTATATATTTTTGTCATATAATCATTTATGATTAATCATACCCTGTTGCTGTTAATATGCCCTGTTGCTGTTAATATACTGGAACATTAGAATAACAAATAAAAATTATGTGGTTGAGATTGAATCTCAAAATCTCTACTTTTGATTAATGTCATGTGAATATATATATATATATATATATATATATATATATATATATATATATATATATATATATATATATATATATATATATATATATATATATATATATATATATATATCAAGTATCCATACAATTTAAGCTCTTCAATACCTACACTTCCCAACACACTTTTGATATGATTTTTGATAAGGAAAAGAAAATTAAAGAAAAATAACGTGGAAGACAAAATTTAAGGTAAACCACTCTTTATTTTAATCACGATTCATTAAATGCTGTGAGACTAATTCACACCCTCACCCACACCTCAATTCAGTTCTCATCACACACTCTTGCCTGTAAATTGATAACCATGCCCATCCACCCTTATCTAATTCTTGACTAATTGACTCTAGACGAGTAGACCCTATCTAAAATAAGATATCTATTAATTGTTTTTATATAAAAAAAATGTATTTTCGGTTTGTATAATTATCTTTTTGCAATTTATACGATCGTAGAAATTCAATATAAATATAAGCTTGTACGTATATGTAGAAGAGTTTAATAAATTAAGTTTTTTAATTAAAGAAAAGTTTACAAAACAAATAGAAAATTCGGTGGTGACGAAATGATATTACATATTTGATATTTTATTTCCTTCGATTCGAACGAATATTAACCGTTCATCTTTGAGATGAGATAGAGGATAGAAATTAGGGTTAAAGATGTTACACACTATAATACTATCTGGTAGGTTTTCATTCAATCTTTTTATTGAGAGTGTTTCTTAGATTTTGCGTTTTCTCTTCGTTTCGTTCAATCTTGTTATTGACAGTGTTTCTTAGATTCTCTTAATTTTTCGTGAAATTGTAACTTTAAATCTTTTGGGCGACAAATTCTGGTGTAATTCCAAATCTCTCCTCTACACAATAATTGAAATCGTTCTCTCCGTCAATTTTATATATATCTCTATTTTTTCTGGGCATCCATTCTACCCATATCTGTATTATACGATCCAGATCTACTTCTCAGAAGGGAATAACTGATGAAGCTGTTAAGTTATGGCTGAATGGTCTCCACCAGCAGCAAGGTAAAAAGACTTATCCCAATCTGTAGCACAATTTCTACCTAAAATAGTACGATCCATGCCGATTTATATGATATTACTTCCTGGTTGCAGGAAATAGTAAGCGAAAATGTAATCTGGGTTTAACTATGGTAACAAATGAAAAGAGAAAAGTTATTAGGTATGAAGCCAGTTTGGTAGATGCAAGTGGTATTGTTGGGTGTGAAGGTGATAAGAAGGTATTGCTTCAAAAGCTTTTTTTTTTTGGGGGGGGGGGGGGGGGGGGGGTGAAGATGAATCATGTAATCAAAACTTTAATGTTGTGTTCATAGTTGGTGTGGGTGGAGTTGGTAAAACCACTCTACTTTTGTATGGTGAAGTGGAACTGAAGGATTATTTCAAACTCAGGGCTTTGGATTATGTCTCTGATGAATTCAAGATTTTCAATGTAAGCAAAGTTATGGATCAATTGGTGACGGAGGAAAACAAGGAATTTGCAGATTTGAATCTACTTGAAGAAATGCTTAAAGAGAAGCTCGTGAAGAAATGTTTTCTAATGGTTTTAGATGATGTATGGAATGAAAGCTATTTGTTTTTGGCTTTAAGAACACTTGGGAGGTTATTGAGGACAAAAACGTATGAGAAGGAATGGAAGGAAAGAGAGATGAGATTGTTCCGGTTCTTAGATTAATTTCCATGATCTTTCTGCATCTTTGAAGCAGTTGTTTGCATATTGCCCATTGTTCCCCAAGGACTATAAGTTTGATAAGGAGGAGTTGGTCCTATTGTGGATGGCAGAAGGGTTTTTGCAACAACAATCAAGATCATTCTTTCTATATGCGTCTAATGACAGATTGTTGTTTGTGATGCATGATCTCATAAATGACTTGGCCACATCTGTTGCTGGAGATTTTTTTTCAAGGTTAGGCATTGAGATAAAAAAAGAAATTAGGAAAGAAGCTTTGGAAAAGTACCTCCATATGTCATTTGTTTGTGAGGATTACATGGTTTACAAAAGGTTCGAGGCATTCAAAAGAGCTAAAAGCTTAAGAACATTTTTAGAAGTATCATTTGAGGTGAAAGAAAATTGGGAAACATTTTACTTATCAAATAAGATCCTCACCGACTTACTTCACGAGTTACCGCTACTAAGGGTCCTAAATTTGAGTCATCTTAGCATAAACGAGGTACCTAAATTCATTGGTAGTTTGAAGCACTTGCGGTATCTTAATTTATCTCGAACTAGTATCACACATTTACCGGAAAATATCTGCAATCTTTATAATTCACAAACGTTGATCGTTTTTGGCTGTCACGGACTAATTAAGTAGCTCGAAAGCTTTTCAAACCTTAAAATGTTGCGGCATTTTGACATTGGGGATACTTCATTTTTGGATAAGATTCCATTCCATTAGGGATTGATGAGTTGAAAAGCCTACAAACTCTCATCTAGAGAAACAAACATGTATAAACATGGATGCTTCCTTTCCACCTAGGCGCTGGCCTCCAAAGTTGTGTTTCCTTAAAATAGGTTTGAAGAAGCCCATCTCAGAGTGGGGACTACAAAATTGTCCTTCATATCTTACTACTCTGTGCATAAATGGATTTTAGAAACTGGAATTGTTTTCAATGTGACTCCAACACCTCACAACCCTCCAACATCTCAGCATTGACAACTGTCCAAAATGTTGTTGGCTTCACTTATGATTTTGGGAATTAGTAGATGCCCAAATTTGAAAGAAAGGAGTAATAGAGGAGGCTACTATTGGCCCCTTATCCCCTGCCATAACACAAGTGGGGTGGAATGACAAGGTTATTGTGAAGGTATATTACTAGATCTTCAAATTTCCTTTTTTATTTTATTTTACAAGTTAATATAAGAGAAAATTCACCATGAATAGATTGTTGTCTTGATGTGCAGACTCAATTGCTATTGGAATCAGTTGGCTATTTCAATGGAAGAGCTTAGAAACCTCAAAGCCTTGGAGTTGAATTATCCATGAATACAAGAAATCATGCAGAGGTTGCTGGCAATGAAAAGATCCCTGCAAGGAGGAAGAGAACTTGGTCAATTACTAAACTTTGCATATAATATGGTTTTAATGACATTAGAAAATAGAATTAGTTTTAATGACATAAGTATATATGTATATTGTCGAAAGATCTGTTTGTGTCTCAATATACAGTTGCTAACATGGACAATAAATTGCTTTTATTTTCTGCTGATTATATTTATTGAATATGATTAAGTTGTATAAAAAAATTCAGCTTTTGTGTGTATCTCTCTCTAACCTTTGACTTATTGTAGTTTAGATGTGCATAAAGTAGATAATTTATTTTTCTTTGGTTCAGAAAGCAGATTTTTTATATTATCTTAGCATATAATATGAATAACATTAAAAAGTTAGTTTCTCAATATTTTTCTTAAGAATTGAGATTCATTTGTAAACATAGAAGGGCCAAGATGGATTTTAAAATAAATCAAAATGTTTACGCATCTAACACAAGCTACAACAAAGGAGTAAAAGATTAAATGTTGACGTATTCTATAATTAATTCACGTTAGATATATATTGGCGGAATACTTATGGTTTTTAAATCTGTATAGATTCATCTAATTAAAAGTGTCACTTTTTTAGCTAAACTATTTGATAGTATGTGGATCTGTTTATAGTAAAATATATGGGTGAAAATTGATAACATGATACGAAAAAAATATACCCTCCGAAATGAAATTGGGACGAAACTGAAATTCGAAATGTTTTCCGTGTCGTGTTCGGACCAAGTGTAAAAAACACGGGGCTGTGTAATGTCATGTTGGTATTCGAAATCCGATATGAAATTGATACGATTTAGCATTTATTTGTCGTATTTTTTTTTGTCGTATGATTAAATATTAATTAAATAAACTAATTGTTATGTTATGTTATCTTTGTCTTGTCGTGTTATGTTTGTCGTTTTATAATTTGTTTGTTTTTGTGTTAGGTAAAACAAACATGATGTCATGATGACCCAATTAGTCACCCCTAGTAAAATAAAATGTAATTGAATTTTAGTGATATTTTCTAAAAAAATCCTCAATATCTTAATATCAAATTTGAGAACAGTATAACAAATATTAAAATTTATTGTCGTTCTCACAATTTATGTTTAATGTTTTAAAATAAGTAAAAAATTATATTTTTTGATATTAAGAGTCTCGTTGTCCAAAAAAATTAGCGGAATTCAGACGAAGTACATATAATTTAATAAAATACACTACCATTTTTTCGTATTGATTATAAAATATTTGAAGTGTATTAAAAATATGACATTCGTCTTTTAGGAATAGAAAAGAACCGCTAATTGTTTTTTTCTTCTCTTTCAACACTTATTTTCTTTCCTTTCGATTCATAATTAAATAAAGAATGCATAAAATACATGATATCCTTGTATCAACTATTTTTTGTTAACTTACCACCATATTTACCATCTCTTTGATCAATTTTTTAATATTCCAACCCTCAACGAAAAATAGATTTTCACAGCTGTAATTATGACCACCATGATATCTTAGTAGTCGATCAATCAATCTTCCTTAACTGTAATTATGACTAAATTGCCCTTGTTGAGCTTAACTGATATGATCTCAGGCAGAACTTAATTGGTTTTCGACAAAGTGAATGTGACTCCTCACTTTTTATTTACAGTTGTGGTCGATCTCTAGCATATATCATGCTCTATGTTGATGATATTGTTCTTACATATTCCCAGATTGCCCATGCAGCATCCTATGTGACAAACTCTTTGCTTTTTTTTTTTTTTTTTTTTTTTTTTGTGAAATATTCTCATATTGGTTTGTTTAGTTTAAGATTGAAAGTATGATGCTATTTGTTAAAATTGATAGATTATGACATTTTGAAATTGGTTTGTTTAGTTTAAGAGATGAAGGTTGATTAAGCCATTTGAAGTTGTTTTTTTTGGTGTGGTGGAGACTCGATGGCAACTTTAATTTTTATTGGTGTTTAGTACCTTCATGATTGTCAAATCATCTAATGGGCCTTTGGGTGCTTTGTTAAACATAAACATAGATCCAAACCATTTCTTCTTGCAATATGCATGAAAACTTTAATTTCTTTGGAGGATTCAAAGGTAGTTGAATTTGCAGCAGTGGCAATAGAAGACATTGTTCCTAGTTTTGCAAAACTATTTCCAGCTATCAGTTCACAACCTCTTTGTGAGCCCTTTTGTAACAACGTAAAGTTTCAAACCCAATTTTTTATTTTCAGTTACAATAAAACACGTGTCACATTTATCAAAAACTCTAAGGTGCTGTTTGTTTTTTTGAAGCCAAAATATCTGCAGTCTGCGGACCACATCTGCAAGCCTCTGCAGCAGAAGAGGTGGACCAAATGTCTGCAGTCTGCAATAAGAAGACTGTTTGTTTTTAACGTCTGCGGCTGTTAAAATAAATTAATTTTTCAAACTTAATTTCATGTCATAAAGATTAAAAATGCATTTTCAGCAAAAAAAGAAAGAAAAAAAACGGTTTTTTTTTTTTTTTTTTGGTTAAAATGAGGTCTGAAGACCTTTGAAGACAGTGACCCATGTCTGCGTCAGGAAGACCTCGCGCATACGTTTTTTGGTCTGCGCACTTCCAAAAAACAAACACTCTGCGAGGGCATATGTCTGCGCGGCGCAGACAAAAGTGGATGCGCAGCTCTTCACAAAAAAACAAACAGCCCCTAAATATCAATCATCAACATAGTTTTCAAAAAGTATTTATCACAATCCAGGATCCATAAAAATATAACTTCGGCTCAGGTGTGTGTGTACAATCAAACTGGTGCCTTCCCGCCATCTTCAGAAGTACCTGAAACACATAACACGGTAAGCACGAATGCTTAGTGAGTTCCCCAAAATACCACCTACATCACATTAGCCATTCGAGGCTATAACACTGTAAGACCCTTCGGTCTATGTGTCTCAGTAGGACCCTCCAGTTCCACGTCTTGTTGGACCCTCTGGTCCAGTCTGGTTGGGACCCTACAGTCCCATGGCTCGTTGGATCCTCCGGTCCGGTCTGGCTGGGACCCTCCAGTCCCACGGCTCGTTGGACCCTCTGGTTCGGTCTCAGCATCACATAATATAGCACAAGAATATATCACGCAAAAATACACAACTCAAATAAGCACATAAGACCCTATGGTCACACATAACTACCACTCCAGGTAAAGTATAGTGAGAATACTCACCTCGTAAGCTAGCTAGTAAAAATCTCGTGCTTGAAATCCTCGATCTAGCCTCCGCCTATCACAAGGGTAATATCTTTAATTAATATTCTCCTCATACTCACATACACCATTCATTGATCTCTCTTACACTCTTAGCCCTAGAAATGGGTAAAAGACCATTTTACCCCTCCCTGACCTCCATTACCTATTTTGACCACACCTAAAAGTCAACAGATGTCAATCTCTAGTCAACAGTCCAAATTGACTAGACTCGTCGAGTGCACTCGTGTGACTCATCAAGTCCCATCGTTTCCTAGTAACCTCAGGAAGGTCCAGCTCGTCGAGTTAACCCTTAACTCGTCGAGCTATCGCATGATCCAGTCCCTCGAGACAAACCCTAATCTACTCGTCGAGTCGGCTCATCAACTCGGCGTGTCCATTCAGACTCGACTTGCATTCAGACGATTTCAAGGCGGGATACTTTCCCAAACTCCATATCTATACTCTCAGGGCTCATTTACCACGTAAAGTCACAGACTTTACGTCCATGCATGGCACTTTGGGCAAGAAATGCCAAGAACATGCCCTAAATAAGGTTTTTCTCTCAAGAACTTCACCAAGGCTGAATAAAGCAGGAATCTTTAGTTGCTAAGGATCTCTTAGTGTAAGGACCCAAATTTCAAGGCCAAAAATTTCATTTTTGAATTAATGTATTTTATAAACGTTTTACCAGAACCTTGTCAATAAAACATTTCATTACACAGTCATAATGTTGTATTTCAAACCATAACATCATAAGTATTAAAAATCAGAGTACAGTTCCAAAAACTTCTTTCGGAAACATGTGTGTGTGTGTGTGTGATGCGCTGCTACACCGCCGACTCTTTCCCCTTCGACGACGAGGTACCTAAAACCAAAATCAAAACTGTAAGCACAAAGCTTAGTGAGTTCCCCCATCATACCACATACCATACAATATCATCGGTATCTTTCAACCGGTACCCTTTCATCGGTATCTTTCAACCG